TCTTTTTCAACCAGTCTGTGATCTTCATTCGTGACAAAAATTCTCATGGACAAGAAGTGTCAGGATATATTGACTATGCCCACAGACTCAAGACTCAAGATTTTGAAGTCTACTTTAATGGGAAAAGAAGACTTCTTCCAAGGCCCACAGATCTGAGGTACACTGTGTACATAATCCTTGCATCTTCAGTGGAAGGGATGAAGCATTTTTATTTTATATTCTATATTGCACTTGGAACAGTAATGTACATATATAAGGAATTTGATGACTATGAACTTTTTAAAAATTTTAAAACGGGGAATGAGCATAGATGCATTTCCCCTCTTTAATAATCTGAAAAGGATAAAACTCAGATTCAAGGTAAGTCAATTCTCAGCAACATTCATATTATACATTAAGAAGAGCCTAAAAATTTCTGGCTTCATAAGTCTCTTACCACTATGTGGGATATTCTGCCTAGAAGCCTCAAAATGTGTTATCATCCCACTTTCTTGGTCAGCAGCCAAAGTGCAGGCCACTGACCACCTCACCCAGTTTTTCTCTTCACAGTTCTAGAGTTCCCTCACATCTAACTCCCCCCACCTTGGGGGACTGCCTGAAGGGGAAGAAAAGGAGAGGAAGACAGTAGAGAGCAGAGAGAAAGAGAAAGAGTAGAGAGTGTGAGAAAGATAGGAGAGAGAGGAGAGAAAGAAGAGGAAGAGGGCAGCCTAACTTTCTTTTAACTGAAGGCCCTTACCCTTTCCTCTGGCTTCCTCATCCCAGGTGCCTGGACCTACTCTACACTGTCAGTCATTGACAGAATGATCATTCTGTCCCCTTCTGAATGGCACTTAAACAACAGCTTTTTGTTCAACTATTTCTACCTCACCATAGAACCCCCAAATAGTAGCAGCATTCTAGTTTCACTCCCAGTACTGTAGTCAGGTCATTGTTTGAGACTTGTATACTCTGAGAACCCTGTGATACTCTATTTATCCTTCTTGCTATTATCTAAAGACTCGCTAACCCATCACCACTTTAATGGGTTTCTTACTTTCCTATCCAACCTAGGTGTATAGCATATTATTTAATTTCTCTCTTACAATAATCTCCACTGCCCATGTCTTTTTGTCCTTTGGCTGTGCCTGTTCTACAGCATCTCAAAGCAGATTGATCTAGATCACTTCTTCACTGAACCTGTAGCTGTACCCTGGGACAGTGTTGAAGGAAAATCTTGGAAACTTTACAAAAATGTACATGGCTGCTCCTAATAACTTATGGTTTTCAAACTCCACTGGGCACTTTGTGACATTTAAAATTTATGTTCAAAATTAAACTCATTATAGGCCATGGAACCTGCTGTGTCTTTTGTAAATCCTGTCTTAGCAAATGGAGCCACCTTTAAAACTGAAAGCATCAACCCAGCATAGTATTAACATTAAAACAGACTCACAGACCAATGGTACATAATGAGAGTCCCAAAGTAAACCCACACATCTATAGACAAATTGATTTTTTCCAAAGATGCTAAGAACATGCATTGGAGAAAGGGTAGTATTTTCAATAAATTATGCTTGGAAAATTGGATAATCCAATGCAGAAGAAAAATTAAACTAGACCTTTTATCTCTTACCAGTTATAAAAATCAGCTCTAAGCAGGTTAAAGATTTAAATTTAGGACTTAAAACTATAAAAACTACTAGAAGAAAACAAAGGAAATGTGTCAGAACATTGCAGTAATCTAACAGTTTTTGAATAAGACCTCAATAATACAGGTAATCATATATCTACAAAGGTTTGATATTTAACATATAGAGGGAACTTTAAAAATATAATAGCACAAAATAACTTTATTTTAAAATAGACAATATACCTAAATAGGCCCCCAAAAAGAAATACAAATGGCTAACAGGTATATGAAAAAAATATTCAACATCACTAATCATCATGGAAAAGCAAATCAAAATCACAACCAGACATCAGCCTTGGGCTGGGATTGTAACTCATTGGTAGAGCGCTTGCCTAGCATGTGTGAGGTACTGGGTTTGATCCTCAGCACCACATAAAAAATAAAAAAATAAATAAAGGCATTGTGTCCATCTATAACTAAAAATATTTTAAAATATATCAATCTTACTGCAATAAGAGTGGCTGGGTTAGTGAAAGGGAAAGGCTACAGTTCTTCCATTTGCACTGCCTTATATCCTCTTTAGGGTCTATACTACCTACCCACTTTTCCCCATAGGCTCCTATTCTAATTCTTAACATGCCCTGCTTCTTCTCATTTTCAATATCTTGACCTCATCAATGTCTTTTCTCCTTATCTAAAGTTGCCTTCACTATCAGCAATTGATTCTGTAGGCTCTCAACATAAACAGGATGTGATGAGAATATAGAAAAGCCAACACTTGTGCACTGTTGATAGAAATGTAAATTAGTACATCCATTTTGGAAAACAGTATGGAGGTCCTTCAAAAACTTTAAAATAGAACTGCCATATGATCTAACATTACTGGATGTTTATCCTTTATCCAAAGGAAATAAAATCAGTATATTGAAGAGACATTTCACTCCAGTGTGTATTGCAGCACTCTTCAGAAGGGCAAGAGATGGAAATAACTGAAGTGCTTATCAGCCTGTGAATAGATAAAGAAAATGTGCTATATAGAGAGAGTACCATTCAGCCACAAATATATGAAATCTTGTCACTTATGCCAACATGCATGGAACCGGAAATCATTATGATAATTGAAATAAGCCAGGCACAGAAAGACAAGTACTGTATGCTCTCACTCATATATGCAGTCTGAAAAAAATGATTTCATAGAAGGTGAGAGTACAATGGTGGTTACTAAAGTCTGAAAAAGGTTATCAATGGTACTAAGTTAGAATTAGAAATAAGAATTGTGTTGTACAATTGCACAGTTGGGTGACTACAGATTACAGTAGTGCACTGTATATTTCAAAGCCTATATGAAAGTACTTTGATTATTTTCATCAGAAAGAAATGGTAAATAGCCAAAGAAATAGTTATAAACTTTATATATTTAAGCTTTATACAATGTATGCATATCAAAATATCACATGCTATCCCACTATATGTACAACTGTACTTTATATATCAGTTAAAATAAGTTTAATTCATAAAAATATATTAATGAAAGCAAAATTCAGATGTTATTCCAGACCTCTTCCTCTCCATCAACACCCTCATAATTAATAATTTATTAAAAACACTAGATTTTGTTACCTTAACAGCTTTGTTTATATTAAAAACAAATGTAAAGCATACCATTTCACTTGCAAACACTTCTGTCTTTATATCTGATAACATTTTACAAGAAACATCATGATCTTATATAGCAAAACAATTAATTAATGTCACCTAGTATCTAATTATTCTTGGTTCATATTTCATTTATTGTCTCAAATTTTTACAGTGGGTTTGACTAACCAAAATTTAAATAAGATTGTGTTTTTTATTCTATGGCCTTCAATCTTTTTACAACATGTTCCCCTCCTGCTTTTTACCTCTGTGCTACTGATTTGCTAGAGAAACCTTTATCCCCAAACATCTCACATTCTCAACTTGACTGATGACTCTCATATTGTTTGCTACAATCTATCTCTATCTCCTTATTCCCCATAAACTGTACTTCCTATTGACCCAGTTTTAGATCACTTGAGGTAGCCTCAGCCTAATCATTCCATCTTTGGGTTCCCCATCAAATTTTGGCCAGTGCTTTTAGCATTCATTAAGGAAGGCTACATAAATAATTTTATTAAGTGCTACATAAGGGTGATTTTCTAATTCTGTCACTCATCTAGCATTTTTAAACTACAATTACTCCAGAGAGAGTAACTTTTCCTTGTCAGCTATTTTATTAATATGAAATATAATTCATATAGAAATTATTTTATAGTTCATATGTTAATTATTTTCCTTATGAAAAGAAATGTAAAACCAGAATCACACAAGTATACACAGATAACATCAACTTGTTTCTCAGTGTGATTATACCAATTTGTACCAACAAGCAGTACCATGTTAATGATGTGGTTGGCCCTCATCCTCACTAACATACAGTATTAACAAATGTTTTTCTCGATATGGTGACATAATATGTATAAATGGTCTCTCATTGTGGTTTTAATTTCCATGATTACCAATCAGATTGGACATCTTTTATTGGCTATTCAGAATTCCTTTCTGTGAAGAATCTACTAAGACTTTCCCCCTCTTTTTCAGTTGGTTTATTCTTTCATTTCTTGTAAATTGCAGGAATTTGCTTTGTTTAATTTAGATGCTGATTAATCCTTTGCCTGTCATATGTATTAAAAAGTATCATCTTTCATTTCCTTTACACTGACTTTTATAATCTGAAATAAGAAGTTTTAATAGCCAGATTCATGTATTTTAGTCTTTTCCTCTATGGTTTGCACTGTTTGAATTTTATTCGGTAAAACCTCATCTTTTGGGAGGTCACAGGACACTGTTTATAGAGTGATACAGTTTTGCTTTTATCATTTTCTATCTTTACCCGAATTAACTTGTATATGTGTTGAGGCAATTGAAATGTGGGGGAAAATTCCTTTATATATAGTTTCATGTTTAGTTTGATTCAGAACTAGAGAAAATATCTTAAAATTCAAAATTACATGAGTTCTCTTTCTAGTTCTTTATTTTCCAACAAGCTATTTTCTGCTGTGTAGAGAGACATTTCTGTGATTAGAATCCTGCCTTTTATTTTTACTGTGGAAAATATAAATGTCAACAGAGAGCTGCAACTATTTTGAGATGCAGCAGAACTTGATCATCTTCTTGTTTCAGATTCAATCTTGATGGTGTCCTTAAGGTTCAATATCTTCTCTGAATACTTGTGAGCAACTTATAAACAGATAGTGTCCTATCATTTACCAACTTTCTTCATACTCCCCTCCAATTTGATGACAGAAGTACAACAAGCATTGTTCTTACTACCTGTGAGAGGATAAAATAAAAAAGTAAACCACAAGCTAAAGTTCAGTAGCAAAACTGATCAGTATGAACGAATCTCAAGTTCTTAGGCATTCTAAGTCATTGCAATTATGGGTTTAAACTTTTATACGTCAAGGACAAAGAGCAATATGGAATCCTTAAGCTATGTTGTGCCCTACATATAGTTGCTTACATGTTGT